CAAGATTAAAAATGGGGGGGGAGGGGAGGAGAAGAGAGGCTAAGTGCAAAGCCAGAGAAAAGAAAACTGGCCGACATTAAGACAAAAGGAATTAAAAAAAAAGTACAAGGGGATGAACTAGACTAGAAAAGAGGACAAATCAAAGAAGTGCAAAAGCACAGTAAAACCATCAAGTAGAAAGAAATGGTAATTTAGTGGTTAAAGTACGAGCCTAGGATTTTAAAGACCTGCATTTAATTCCCTTTCAGGCTTCCCAACTTTCTGAACGAGCTATCTAACCTCTCATGGCCTCGGTTCCTGCTCACGTGACTATTCTTGTGCACAGCACCTCGCTGAGATAAGAGACAAGGTTTCAGATGTGCACATATGCCTACCAAAAATAAAGAATGGGGGAATTTAAACCTAGTTTATGCAAGATCTATTCTTAGTTTTTTTCATTAATAGCTACAGGTGTTCTCATTCCAGCTGAAAGAGGCCGCTGAAGAGACAAGCTAAAACACTAGAATGTGAGACCAATAATTAATGTATTAATTACTCAAAACATTAATTACTCAAAACATGCATGAGTTAGACAAATCCTGTGCATTCCTGTTCTGTACATCACGTATAAGCATCTTATGCACAACTAACTATAGAAAAGATGCTTAAGATGCACATAAAATGTAAATTTTAATTACCATTTAAACATACTATGAAAAAGTCATCTTGGAAATAGCTTCTATTTCATACTAAAATATCAGTATTATAGAGTGATGCATTTTTACAAAGAGGTTGTTCTAAGCAGGAAGGTACAGACATACTATACCTGCAAGATAAGATAAATCAGCTAAAAAAAAAAATATAAAGAACAAAAATACAGCACAGAAAAGAGTACCACTGCATTCTGCTACTTTGGGGATGGGGGTGTGGTTAAACAAAGTTTAAGCTAAATAGTGCCAAACGGCAACATCACTAGAATAAAATTAGACCTGGTTCCTATAGCATAAATGCAGTATTAAAACAAGGAATCAACTGAATCAGAGAGACACAACAGCAGGTAATGAGTTCTTGAACAAAACAGGTAAGTTCTTTCAGCAGTATAACCTAGTGGGTGAAAATACACGGCAAACTTATTTTAAGAGATTCATTTAGTGGCTCTGTTACGATCTTGGCTCAACTATACAAGCCCAACCACTCGCATTACAACACTACATCCCCCTTTCCGACTGGTGTCGGCTGTCCAATTTCAGGAGTTGCCACCCCCTATGCTAGCCTGTTATTGCTTCATTCTTTCCTACTGACGTTAGGAGGAGGGCGGCTGAGGAATGCTTTTGACTAGGAGTTGTTGATTCTTGGGCTAAATATCTCCTTGTTCCTCAAACTTTACTCACCAGGGAATGGTTGCTGGTGTTTGGGTATGGATCTTCCCTCCAGGCATCTGCAGTTGATTCTCATTAAGGAAAACATAAAATCCCCTCAGCAGCTCTGGAACTCTCTGGAGTTGTCAGTGCAACAAGACACACAATACACATTAGGTGAGCAAGGATTTAACGGAATCTCTACCTACATCCACGTTCTCACACGCATCGCAATTTTGGTCACTGAAGTTGCCCGGTACTGTGATACGACAGGACTGAAACAGCAACCAAGTCTAGTCGGGCACCTCATGTCCACATTTAAGTATTCTCCCTTTTACCAGCTGGGATTGGAAAGATCTTCCCCCCCAGTCCCCCCCTCTCTTTTGCCCCATATGCATAACATCTTCCTGCTCCGTAAGAGGGGAAGGACACCCACAAAAGAACCTTTTCTCACGTCAGGCTACGGAGCCTGCTGAAGACAACTCCCCTGGTTTCCTCACTGTAGCTGGGATCTGCTGCACCCTCGGCTTTCTCCAGGGCAGTCAGTAACGTGGAAGACCCCTTCTCATCCTTGTGGGACCCCAGCTTCTAAATGAAATATGTAAAAACCATCAGCTGTTCCAAGCTTTAGCAGGACTAGGATCATTCAGTGCTTCGTTCCGCACTGAAACCGCTGAGCTTTTAAACACAGTTTTTTTAAAAGCTACAGGGAAATGACAGCAAGAGTTGTCCACACCAACAACACTGAACAAGGCGACAGAAATAAAATGCACTGTAAAAAGTTACATTTTAGGAGACTTTTAAAAGCAGTTTGCACATTGGCACCGAGCATGCCATTTTGGGGAGCAACTACAGAGAAGCTCTTGAACCCACCTCAGATGAAGGATTACTTGGAAAAGCACGTTTGGTCCACACCAGCGAGACGACGGGCCCTCGGCTGCTGTCTGAAGGGTCAGGGATGTCCTGCAGGACAGCTGCACGTTTACTTGTACAGATGCAGGCTTTCTTCACCTGGGGAAGGTTTCTGGACTAGTCCAAGGAACAAATTAATCTGATGGATTGGTTTAAACACTTGTACAAGTACCTCTCACGCGGAAATAAATGTGCTGCTTTTTTACCTTGTGCAATTTGGGAAAATGTTTAAGCTAACCAAAAAAAGCCACTTATCATTGAAAAAAAAGCCTCCACGTGGGGCTTAGAGGACAACTAGTAAAAACTTTCCCCTGCAGACAAGGCCACAGCTATTTCCTCAGCTAAGAGCTCGGAATTTGGCCCTTGAACTTAACCGCTGCCCATGTTTGTTTAGGCACAAGCGGTCTCTCTCGTGGCCTCAGTTTGCTCCCACTGACGATGACAAACCCCACCGTCACTAAAGAGGAAGTGGGGTTGGATTTATGGGCAACGTTAAAGGCCACCAAGAAATTCAGAAGTCTCTCATCAGATCGCCCGAGAGAGTCTCAAGTCACAAACCAGTCCTGCGTACCAAGAGCTGTAATGCATTCTGCTTTGCCAGTTGGCCTGAAATATAAACAGGCAGGACGTTTTTGTAGAGGAAGTTAAACACATTTTTCTTCAGAAGATTTCTGTTGAACCTTGTACTGTTTTCCTCTTAAAACTGAAAAGATTCTCAGACTAGACTGTGCTGTTTGACTCTGAAAGAGCAAACGAGCATCCTTACAGCAGTTAAACGTCGTTACATATGAAAGGCATATACGTATCTTTGAGAGAACATTGTCTTTGTTCTTCTTCTAATATCACAGAAAAATAGCAAGCAAAACCCTTCTGTTTACGTCTTCCCTATTACTGTTGATGTGAATTGCTGGCCCATAACCAGACTATTAATTGCCACAAGTATGATTTAATCACACCCTGTATGAGCAAGGAGCAAGACGCCTCTTTTCCTCACAGTATCTCTGGAAGTGAAATGCCATCCCAAGGAAAGCAGAAGGTCTAGAAAAAAGATACATTTCATAATTCTCTTCAAAACGGGAGCAGGCCTTTAAATCTTCTAAGCATCAGGAGGAAGACTACTACATCTTCAACTTACATTGATAACCTATGCTATATTTAAGGAACACCTGCAAAACATGGTTATTCTAATTTTTACCTTTCTCCTGCCCAGTATGAGCTATTTTTTTGCTGCACCAAAGGGAAGAGTACTTGAAATGTGATTTGTTATAATAGTTTAATGAAAAAACGCAAGTATTTTTGCTTTTATTATGGGGACGCACACAGAGGCTTACAGGGGGTCCTTCAAAATGGAAAAGGCAATTAAAATACTTACTTCAAACAAATCCCAAAACATCTCTCATTGAGCTCTGAAGGAAGTTTCGTAACTATTTAAAAAGACTACCACAAGTTACTGTGGCTTTTAGATAAACACTGCACTGCAAGCTAGGCTTAATATAAAAATAGATTATATTTAATAAATTGGTATATAATACACTATAAACAATTATGAAAGTGTTATTACAAAGGTAAATAAAAGTCTGCATTAATATTTCAAGTAACTTTACAGAATTTCTTCACGTAACATTCAAATTGTGTAACATTGATCATGAAATGGACACAGTAGAACAGGTTTTCACCAATCCTCACACTTTTATTGAAATATCAAATTATCTTTTTTTCCTTCAAAACGAGGAATTGCTGGTATCGGTTCGAGTTGGAAAGTGGGCTATCAAAACCACTATCTTACTGAAGAGACCGGGGATCCCACATCATTTTTTTCCAAGCATTTGTTGCAGCATTTTCCTACAGCTGAATCTGGCGATACATCGAGTTGTGCGACAGCAGAATTTGGTTTGTCGAAGCTGAGGAATGAAGTATGCTCTGGGTGTGTTATCAGGTGGCCTCTACAGCAAACTTCAGTGCTGCTTTTTGTGCTAGGAATCTTGCCATTGCCATTAGAAATGTCTCTCCAAGAAGTAACGACGTTTTCATCTGCGGGGGAAAATGACCTGACGTGGGGAAACTCTTCACAGCATGCAGTCTGTGCTTGCACATTAGTACTGGCTTTTTGTTCAGGGTACGAGAGGGGCGTATCGCTACGATCCAGACGCGGGCTTCCATTCACAGAACTCCATTCACTGCAACTTCCTTCATCCCTTTCTGGAAAATCAAATTCCTGAGTTCTTTTAGATTTAGTTTTCCATTTTCCACATGACGGGATACATTTATCCTCTTTCAAGACCGTTCTTTCATTCTTGCCCTTAAGCGTATGATGAGCTGGCCCGGAGACGTTATGGCCATTTGTAAAGCTGGGTGCCTGCATATCTCCTAACGCCACTTGAAAAGCGGATGGAAGAGCATTCTGATGTGCTATATTACTAGCAGCACACAAGAGACCTTTGTCTACATTTACAATGGGGCCATATCTTTCTCTTCTTCCATCTTCATTTGAATGTAACTCTGACAGAGCATCTCTTGAAGCACCATCCAGATTTTTAGAATTATTCCCCTTCTGAATATCTGAAGTCACTCTTTCATGACGCGTATGTTGAGTTTCAGTCTGCATTGCATCAAACCGCTGTCTCAAGTCATGCGGTACATGTTTCTGAACAACTTCATCATTAGCTTTTTCGGTAATGCTTTCGCCACATGATTTGCTTTCCATATGGTTTGACCTAGTCTGAAGCATACGATCTCTTTTTGAGTACTCAGCTCCAGGTGGTAGATCAGAATTTAATAGCAGAGCTAGGAGAGGAGGGAAGGAAATAGATTAATTGAAGAAAGTGTTAATGCTGGGGAAAAAAAAACCTAGGTTCTTTTGTTTCTTTTTTTTTTTTAAATAAAGAATTGTAAGCATTGTCAAAATAAGCAGCTTATATTTACATTTCCATTAGCAAGCTTATAAATAAATAGTACTTCACTTTCCATCTGCATTTTCATTACTACATGCATTAAATCAATATGATCAAGAAGAGAACGACTGCAGAATCCAACATACCTGAGCGGGTAGATTTGCTTTGGGGAATGTGTCGAAGAGGCGTTTCAAGTCCTTTAGCCATCGTAGCAAGCTTACTGGCAGCATTCATTATTTTCTTTTCAGCTCTGCCAAGAATTGCAGAACATGAAAAAAAAAAATTAAAGTTTAAGGATAATTCCTTTTCAGCTCTGCATTTTACTTCAAGGTAACGTTAGCGAGAGTCAAAGAATACTGAAAAGACAGTATGCCAGACTGCGCAGCAGTGACCCCATGCCAATCTGAGCAGACTGGCAAGACTTCAGGTCAGACGCTGTTTGCTCCAAGGTGGACAAACACCAGACTAACGTCTACACGCCTCTTTCAAAACCAACAGTAATTTCCAAACATACTTGAACTTACCCTTCATGTTTCCCATTATCAGTAAGAAGTTGTTGAAGGCATGTCAAATAGTATTTGCGCATTTTCCGTGCTGTTTCTTGGCGCTCTCTTAAAACCTCTGCTTTAATCATTTCAGCAGCTCGCTCCTTACTTTCACGGATATAATAAAGCATATCACCTACAAACACACTTCATTAGTACCAGTTTTCCCCCAGAGGGGGGAAAAAAGCCAACACCACAAACGGATTGTCTAGCAGACCTGGAGCAAGTCAGCAAGGGCCTGGATTTACCTGCCAACATTCCACCCAAATCCTTGTGCCAAATGTTGCCTACTGGATAAACACCACTGAAGACCAGAGCAGGTCAATACGAAGCATCAGACAGGAATTCAGTTGTCTAATTCTGCATCTTCAGCAGCAACAGAAAACACTAGGCACAGGGATTTGGGAGGAATGTTGGCTAGTAAAATGCGGGTCTATGAACTCTTTGATGGCAGCGCAGCTGGCGTTTGGGGACCTGCTGCACTCGAGTAAGACCTGGCGCTACACTTAACCCTCTCTCCTCAGCCAGAAGGTTGCTGATTAAGCCAAAAGGCAGGATACAGCACAAGAGAAAAGCAGATTCTCCCTCAGGACAAGTTGCAGGGTGGGTGGATTGTTTGCTGGAGAAACAAGATCAGTTCTCAAAAGACGCTTTACCACTTTAAAAGACATAATACAGTGCAACAAAGCAAGGATGGCATAACAAGGCTTCACCCATCGCAATTAATCTTGTCGAAGACTATGGTGACAATTCCATTTCTCACATTCGCTCTAGCAAGAAGGAAAAATTTACTTCTCATGCGATTTGGCTGTCAGATTCCTGTGCAAGTTGGCTGAAGGAGGAGGAAGTGACAAAGTAAATTATTTTGCTCTCCTAACTTTTTAGCTAAGACTTTAGTACTTACACTTAATCTTGCTCACAGCTTTAATGTACTGAGCACGCATTTCTTCCAGCCCTTTCACAGAGTCACAGGATGTACAAGGTTTTGAGACGCCTCCCTTTGACAGTGACCTGAAATGCACATAAGTCACACCGCACAAGAAAAGCGGCTTGTATCTCACCAAAAAAAAAAAAATCGGCTTGTTTAAATTTTTTAAATACCTTGGTGGTGTTCCCAGGTCTTTCAGTTTAGTCTTCATCTCAGAGTTTTCTGCAATTAGAGCTTCTAGAACCTTCTCATTTTCTATTAAAAAAAAAAAGAACCATAATTCACTGCACTTCTCTAAATTCAAGTGGACTTCTGCAGAAGTTATTACATAAACTGCTGTCTCTGGTGTAAGAGTTCAATGTCACACAGCATCATCAGCAAATGTACAGCTGTTGCAGTAACAAGCACATAGGAATCGACCACAATACACTTCAGTGAAGCCTGAATATAAAGTTCTCTCATACAGTAATTAAGTTTAAAGCCTTCATATGCCATTACTAACGCTATGCTGGAGGCAAAACTTCAGAGATACCAGGTGTACGTGTGGAGAAAGCATGGGGGGGAGGGAAGAGGGTTGTTTTCACAAACATGTGAAAAGAATTATTAATTTGTGGGTTAGCAATTATGCCTTCTTTGGGGTGGAGAGATGAAAGACAAAACTTCATTGTTGTTTTTTTTGTTTTGGTTTTTTTTTTTTTAATAACCAAAAGCCAGTATTACAGAGGAAGGCTGGACTTCCATGCTGAACTCTGCTCAATGCTACTAAGCATATAAATATTATAATGAGCCACCACAGAGAATGAGAAGACAGTGGAGCTGAAAAAGCCCAAAGCACAGGACTTCAAGCTGATACTGAAGACTGTTGATCATGGCATACAGATAGTCTACCTGTGGGTCATCTCCTGAAAGTTAAAGAACCTTAAAACCTATTTATGAGCTGTGTAATCTAATCTAAGCAAATGGTTATTTTTTAAAAAGGGTACAGGTATCTACTGTAACTTGAAGAATTGATGAATAAATTTGGATAGACCCATAAAAATCAATAGTTGATTACTAGCTCTCCTATTTTAGGAAAGAAAACCAACATGAATTGAACACCTACACTCAATGCTGGAGATAGCTCCACTGCAGCCAGTCACAGAAGTTTTCACATGAACCATGGCCTAAGGAAAACAAAGACTGTCACCACACAACAGAGGGCATGTCTTAAAGACAAGTCTTCCTTCCAGAAGAATCAAGGCTTTCATGGGTAGAATATGGAGGACCTGAGCCCAGGGAAAGACACAGACAAGTTTGGCTTTCTCCCTTCTCTAGGATGATTTGCAGAAAAGCAAAAAGCAAGCAGCCATCCTGGAATACAGAAAGAAGGAATTCATGGCCTTCGGAGATCCTCATTTGTGGTCTAGACCTCCTATTATCCTTCAGTCTTTCCTCCAGTCCCCAAGGAAGTTTACATGCTATATGGTTGTTGACAAAAGAGCACAGAAATAATATTACGCAAATCTGTGCAACTTGCTCACCTGACCTTGCTCACACATCTGCAAGCTGGCAAAAACCTTCCCCTTACAAACATACAGCATTTCACTCATCCCCACTGAGCACAAGGTTTATTAGAGCGGGCAACTGAGACTTTTCATTAAAAAAAAAAGGGGGGGGAAACACACTCCACACAACACACCCAAACCACGGCCTTTGGCAAGTAGGTCACTTGGTATAACGTGCTACCTCGCATCTGCTTTCTCCAAGCTGACCATTTGCCAAACCTGCTTACAGTGGCCACAGTGACCTTTCACCGAGGCATGCTCAAACAATTCTACAGAGTTACTGACCCTCAGGATGCAGCTTGAGACCCCTCCTGAACCAGGACCTTCAGCAAGTCCAATTCCTGCCATGCTCTAAGGAGAGCCTAGGAAAAAAAAAATGCCCTGAACGCTACTGTGTACAGCTTCAACTGATTAAAACACTGCAGGGAGAATGATCCTCTTACTCAATCACCAACATGTTTTCCTTCAGAGAAAACATCATTCTCTTTGTTCCGCTCCTTAAAACAGAGACCTCTACTGACTTCAGTATAGCTGAATAAGGGGATAGAGTTCCTCAGATACCAGCCGAATGGGAGCTGTGCTCCATATAGTACATTATGCTCAAGTAGGAAAGAAAAAGTTCTTGAGCACAGGAACGAAGCAGAGCAGGCATTCCTCCTACAAATCCTCTCAGAAATAAGCCTAGACAAAAGGAATTCTTGTTCCTATCAGAGACAGATGAATCAATATGACTTCCTCTGAGTGAAAAGCCTACATGCAAGGCTTACAGAAAGAGACCCAACCACAGGAGTAGTTACAGGTACGGCAAAGGGGTTTGATACGCCAAAGACTTTTCATCCTCGTTAGCCCAGATTTTACTATGGCCAGAGACTTCTACTGAGTTAAATAAAGTAATAAAGGATGGAGTCTATTATCCTGAAAGGATGACAGATGTACATGATGCAATAGCATCCACAATAAACGCAGGTATCGATATCAAGTCAGATAATATTGCAATTGACTAAACTGATGGCCGAGTGTCAGGGAGATTTTACCACCAGGCACTATCAGCCTGTCCACAGAAGGTGATACAGGTATTGAGAATGCCAGAAATAAGATGTTGGACAGCAAAGAGAAGGCAATCACAACACCACAACACTACCCCACGGCCAGTGGGGGGTGTATTAAACAAGAGTACTGGATAACACCGCTACTGAATCAGAAGCAGTCTCCTACAATAGAGGAATCTCAAGCAAGTTACTTTGCACCATCTTTTTCCATCAGAAATAGCTTCAGAAAAGCCTTATTTCCATACAACAGGCAGAAGCCTCCCTTTCAGTGACTCTTCCAAAAACAGAGTGGATATTTCATATGTATCATTGGTAGAGACAGTCATCACATAGGAAAGAAAGACTTAAGAACTAGAGACCTTTTCTCAGTCATCTGTCCTGTATTTCTCATTTCAAAGTGACAAAGGAAAAAGAACATCTTGATTTAAAAGGCAAAGAGACTAAGTAAAACCTACTTAAAACCTACTTTAAGGCTTACAAAAAAAAAAGAAAATAAGAAGAACTACAGCTTCAAGCTATTATTAACTGCAGGAAGGTACAAGAAAACTGTGGTCAATGGCTTACTACTACCAGTGCCTAGAGGAACCAAGTAACATTTGGGGCCACTTTGCTCTTTATACTCCCACTACGGGGGGACTAGTATGTGCACAGTAGCAGTACAGCCCCAAAGGAGACAGCTAAAGGCCTCCCTGACTCACATACGTTTCTAAGCATACATGTCTACGTGCACACACGTGCATTATCTGTATAATCCTCATGGGCAATGGGATCCACATGTACACATATTCAAAGACCATGTGCCACGTGTTCTGTTTTCCTCTATTCTTTTCCTGATACACACAGAAGAGTACTAAAGCGATAAGTAATGTTGGAAGTCAAGAGAGTGGGGGGGTTTCTTGGGGGCGGGGAGGTCAGTTTGTGGTTTTTTTCTTGTGGGGGGTTTGTTTGGTTGGTTTTTTTAAGTATGCACACACCCCCATTCCATCCACTGAAAACTAAATGATGCAACAGATGAAAGACTCATGCAGCCAGCAAAGCAGAGCCATTCAAAATTGTCTTTAGGTGACTAACAATCCTAACCTTGGATTTGCTCTGACTTAGCTTCATGTTCCTCCACAGCAAGCTGAAGATGTTTGCGGGCTATCTCCAGCTTTCTTTTCAAGTCCTGGCACGCAGTCTCTCTCTTTTCAAGCTCCTGGCAGCAGTGTTCACAGCAAAAATCTTCCTGAAATCCAGGGTTCCTTTTTGTACATTTCTGAGCTGCAACAGTAAATGCTAAAAGTTATACATCAACCATAGGACCAAAAAAAAGAATCAAGCCCAACCTTACTATTTCCAGTGCTCTACTTAGTCTTTTTCTTGCTGGAAAGCATATAACATCAATCTAAAATAATCACAAGAGGCTGGAACCCTGTTATAGAAAGTGCAGAAGCATCTATCAAGTCGTTGAGCCCTCACAGCCTCAATACACTCCCATCAGCGATGATCTGAGTCTTCAGTCAGCGAAGAGAGACTTGTAGGTTGAATTGTTTTAACAAAACAAAAACCAACCACCAAAAAACCAGCCAAGCAGGGCCTTTTGGAGTCAGCTGGGGGAGATTCTCCCAGCTGGGAAGCCTCACACCCGACCAAGTCTAGTTAAGAAATTCACAAAGACTGGGCTACTTCTAGGACAGCAACGGCTGCTCTTTATAGCCAGGACAGGGAGCTCTGGAGACAGAAGAGCTGCACTGCTTGTATTGTTTTGTGTTTTATAGATGGTTTGTTATTTTGGTGTTGAAGGAATTCAAGCCACACTATAGGCATAAAGCCAAAGACTCTCTTGGGTTTTCTTGCTTTATGTTTTTCAGTTGCGTAAGAACTTAAACTAAACAGAAAGCCCCAGAGAGATTTCTGTGCCTCCCATGAAGTTTCTCCCCAGCTACACTGTCTCCGGCTTTGCCGTAGTACACATGACAGCTTTGGGAAGAGCTACAATGCTATATACTGGGGGCAGGAGGGGGCGTGGGGGGGAAGGAAGTTGGGGGGGGGAAGAGAAACATCACCCAGGGATTCACATTTTTTCAACTACATTCTTGATCAAAAGAATCAGAAAAAACTACCATGCCAGGCAAAGTATGATTCTTGACACAACAGTATCTTTTACATGAACGTAGAATTCCTTGTCCTGCCTAGTGTCAAAAGCAAGTAGCATAATTCTATCTTCAAAGCTCCAATTTAGTATTACCCATTTGCAAGACATAGTTTAGACCACATCCTGCTCATCATAATCAACACTGGCTTGCTTATGAGCTTTTATACACCAGAGGTATTAGTGTTCACGTCCACAACCCCCAAAGAGTATTCACATCTGCAGCTATTTCTTTACTTCTGAAGAATGGCTTTAAAAAGCAGAAAGCTACTAGCATGTAATAACATTAAACCTCAAAGCCTGGCATTAAATCAGTAAGCTGAAGACCAGTACCATTTGTTGCATGGTTTGTGACTTTAACATAGTACAAGCTAATGCAACATTAAACCACCTTACAATCAGAACCGCATCTTCCTCTCTCACTCAAATATTCACTAACTTTGCATTAGAGTCATCAATAAGACATTGACTATTAAAGACTGCTACAAACAAGCTTAATTTGATGACACATAATTTGCCAAATAAAAACCAAACACAATACCTTTGTCTGTTCCAGTTTCCTGCAAGGGTGGCTGTCGTCTTAGCCTCCTTTGTGCTTCTGCTTGGTGTCCAACATTGTACACAGGAGATCTTGCCACGTCCCCAGTTTCTCCTTCACCACGTTGCAGGCAAGTGTATGCTTCTTTATTTGCATTAGTCAGTAGCTCTTCATATTTCTGCAATTGAAAAAACACTTCCTGAAAACCCAATACATAGCAAAAAAAAGAAAAAAAGTGTTCCACACTATCTTAAAGTAGATAAATAATATGTTACACAGAAAAACAAGCAACCCTGGCCACCAAGTAGCTTTAGTAATTGTAATGCAGGTGCTTTAAACCTGCAATAGAACTGTAGATTGCGGCTCAAATCAGGAGGAAAATGTGTATTCTAGCACACAGAAGTTCTACCTGGCATAATTCACTGCAACAGCAGTACCTGGCTATCCTGAGTACTATTTTGGAACCGTCAGTAGCCCTTAACATTGCAGAACTATACAGTGTCTTTGAATAGTTGAAGCTAACTTGTTTTTTAAAAGGCATATCCAGCAGAAAAAGGGGTTCGACCCATTTAGAGTTTCGCCACAAATATGGGTAGTAAAGGGACAGGAAAGTCATCTAGAAAAACGTAACTCCTTCGTTTATTGTTACTATGGTAGGATAAGAGAAGACATTACTAAGAAATTACAAAGACTTCACTGGATAAGGCTGTTCAAGCCAACCAATGTCTTGAAGTTCAAAGACATATTAAAAACAGTTTACCGAGACACATTCATATCTATTACAGAAGGTAGATCAGGCATAGGAAAAAAACCTTCTGATTTTCTTTACCATAGTGAAAATAACTCATGACAAGAAAACTTTAAAGGTCCACTTTCCGAAGAGAAACATATTACCACTAAAAAACTGGGTAATATTGTAATGAGAAATCACTTCATACTCATTTCCCCCCACCCTGCCCTTTCTTGAAAAACAAGACAGTTTCCTTCTCTGTCCTATTCTTGGATAATTCCCCAGCAGCTGAATGCTGGGTGGCAACGGCATTTCCAGTGGGATGCTCCCCATAATCAAAAACTTACTACAAGCATAAGTATTGCAAAAGGAGGAATCTGCCAAAACAACAGAAACAGAAGCTTTTGGACAGAATTCTACTTTGCCCCAAACTCCTCTAGAAGAGGGTGTCTTTCCTCATTTGGGCAGGCACATTGAAAAGATTTCCTAGAGCCACAATAAAGTTAAGCAAGACTGTTATTCCCAAGATAGATCAGTTTGTCAGTTATTCAGTTCTACTACAAATAATCCGCAAAAAGGATTTACTGTTTTCATCTTTATTTGTATCAGAAGGGGGAAGAAAAAGAGTAACGTAATCAACGATCCCTATCCAATCACCATTACAAACTGCTAAATTTCTCCAAAAAAAAACCCCAAACAACGAACCCAGCAGCTATGCAAAAACCTAAGATGGGCCTCAATGACAGAACTCATCTAAGAGGTCACAAGGAGCCTTCAACAGGCTCCCAGACTTAAGATGGTGGATTCTTCTCCTTAATTTATGAATCTTGGCATTAAAGAGTGACACTCCTAACCTGGCTTTCTCTTCTTTAAAGATTGAGGGTGTCAAAACTACACCCACCCTTTCCCTTTCACTTGCTAATGGCAGATTTATCCCTCTTTTACAGTTTTAAAGGACTGTTATTATCAATGAACTCAAACGTTGGATTCTCTAATTCTCAGGATTACATGGATTTTATATTGGGAGAAAACAAGTAAGAGTCTGACTTCTCAAATCCCTTTTCTGGTTGACGGTTATAATTTACAGAAATATTACCTCTTTCCATTCTCTCTCTTTCTTTTCCAGAATTGTGTAAACTGTGGTTCTGTAGGCCTTTTGTAAGCAAGCCTTCAGTTTGTCTTTGCATCGATGGCTTAATTGAACATGAGCGTCAAAACACTTATCCTTCCAAGAATGCTTACTATGTGTGCACTTGACTAGTTCTTCATGGATTTCACTCAACAAGTACTCAAGCTCAACCAGAGTCTTCTCTTCATACCGATTCATTTCATCCTGCAGCCTCTTTGTTTCCTGAGCCTCCCATTCTCGCTGCTTTTGGTCTAGTAACATCTTTATTTCTGCCTCTTTCTGAATGGAAAGATCATTCTTCTGCTTTGCAAGATCCTCCTTTGCTGATGCAAGTACCTCTTTAATTCTGTTTCTGTGATCATCTAAGAACAATCGGTAGTCTCTCTCATTTTGTCCTTGTATCTGCAGGATTTCTTCTTGCTTTTCTTTGTTCCACTGAGCACGGGCTTTTGCTAGTTCTGCTTTGATAGCTGCGGGGATTTCTTCTTTCTTTAGCTCCAATTCCTTCTTGAGAGAAATTACCTTTTCTTCAAGTTCTTTCATTCTTGGTCCAGATTTCTCTGTATGCTCATGTTCTTTCTTCCATTTCTCTTCAGCAGCTGAGAGAACTAGGGCTAACTGGTGAATATGTAACACAGTCATTAAAGATATATGCATATATTTATATATACATAAAACATAACCCTGGGTCATTATCAATCTATTGGAGATGATTTTCAAATTATTTAATAAAAATATAATCCTATATAGGCAAAAAAATGGATCAGAGCCAGAATACACTAGAAACATCTTTCCTTAATGATTCCCCGCTTATGTCTGCATTCATTCCTCAGGAATATATGGGATTTGGAAGACTGAACTGTTTATCAATACACATATACAAGCATTTCGGGCTACCTGCTTTGCTGCAGTCTCTTTGTGTTCTTCTTCCCATTTTTCTTGTTCTATCTTTAGATTTACTTTGTACTCTTTGAGGTCTGTTAATTCTTGCAGCCACCTGGCACGAGCTTGGGTTAAAGCTGCATCTACCTATAAGCAGATAAAAAACCTATTTCAGTCACCACCACTGAATACATTTTTATTATTACTTTCATGTAGCAGTGAAAGAACAGACTTCAGTTTGGATTGCCCATGTTTATAGAAATTAAAAGAATCAGATCAGCAGCATCTGTTCATTTCTTGATGCAAAAAATGATACCAAGATGTTGAATATTAATTTTTTCTTAACAAAAGGGTATAAACTCTAAGCCAGTTTTGCTCAGTTTTGTTCAAAACTCCTGCAAAACTTGTTCAACTGTGTGAAAAATTAACAGCTAGAAAAAACAAGCTACATGCTACAGCTTCTTCAGAACTTTGTTTTTTTAAATGTATTTCTAATATAGCAAATACCAACTACTGAGCAGAAAGTTAGTGGAAGAGAACACTTTTTTTTTTTTTTTTAATGACTTAGTTGCACATGGCAGTTTCACATGCTCCAGGCAGACAGAACAATTATTTGTTACCTGGCTGGCAAGATTTTTACGGTATTTATTTTCCAGTTCTATTTCAAATTCTTTTAAGGCCTCTTCAGAGGCCATACTTTCTTTCAGAGCCTTCTGGATCTGCAGCCTCTGATCTTCAACAATCCCTTCTAACTCTTCAGCTGAAGCTTCATCCACAACTGTTACTCGGTCAGTTTGGCTGCTGCAGTCATTACATTCAACGACAGTTCTTCTTGTTTCTTCCAACCTACTTTGCCATTCTCTTTCTATTTTTGCAAAGACTTGCTCTTTATTCTAAGGAAAAAAAATATTTTTAAAGAAAAATCTCCCCAGTGTCCAAATAACTAGAATTTCACTGGTATTTAACAAAAAAGCCACTGTTTACACCAATAATCTTCCTTCCCTAACAGGTGAAGAGCAAAACCACGCCCAGAGAGCGGAGAGTTTGGTAAAGAATGAGTTGTTTTTCCTTCCTTATCACAGCTTTCTTCTATGGGATAGGATACACAGAGGCCTTTTATACGATAACTGAATGAAACAATAGAAAGCGTAACCACTCACCCAGGGATCAGGGTGGAAAACTCCAGCATATTACCAACTGTGACATTCAGGACAGTCTGCATATTACTTTACAGGGTCTAGGAGTTTTTTTCCAAAGTCTTAAGCATGTGTAATACCTACTGACTCCTTTAGAGGCTCCTAAAAGGACAGGTCCTTGAAAGCCACTTGAAATGGCAGAATAACAGCACATAAGTCTATCTACATACAAAAGTTCTTCTGAAAATAAACAAACCAACAAAAAAAAAATTGAAACCCCCGGTCTAAGTTCCACACCTCTTTTAATTCCTTCTCCCAGTGAATTTTGGCTAATGCAACTTCCTCTTCAACCTGCTGTTCTTTTTCTTCCAGCCACTGCTTCTTTGCTGCTGTCATAGAACTGCTGTGTTTCTCTTCAAGCGCAGTCCTCAGAAGGTTAAGAGAGTCTTCTTTTTCTTCTAGTAGCTGTTTCTTGAGCTAGGGAAAAAAAATAAAATTAAAGTATTCTCCAAGGCATAGTGAACTGCTCTGGTACAAAGTGATGAGAATGCATGAGACATGATTAATTCTCTAGAGCCTGTGCACTGATCTTACTGATGACACCTGGACAAGAGATTCGGCTCCCAAAAGGAGCTGTTTTAAGGTGTGATATCAGAGGTTATTATAGGCTATTGCTCTGAAATAAGTTTTCTTATCAAGTATCTTTATTCCCAGCATACTTTGAGCTGCACCTCTTTACTGTACTTGCTTAGCAAGACAGTTGACCTAGTTTAGTCATTTCACACTGATATCTTCAAGAAAAGCGAAGTTTTTAATCAATATAGCAGTCTGAAGTCATTATTAGTTAAAAAACCACAGTATTTTCAGATCAGTTTTATATAGGGAGAAGAAAACTTGTATTGTCAGTCAGGTTTTTGGAAAACGTCTCATGAACGTAAAACCTCATACTGCCGACTGAACAGTCCTCAAGAGTCAGAATTATGAAAGTCGACTACGTGAAAATGAATAGCTACTGGAAAGGGTTACTTCTACAATATTATAAACCCCAGGAGACATCAGCAGGTTAATTTAACAACCAATAAGTCACATGTATTAATTTTCTGATATAACTGCATCTCTTCCAAGTATCTTCCCCAAACAATTACAAAGTTAAATACACTTACGGATATTACATCTTAAAAACAGTCTGAAATGATATGGTTTACAGGTATTTCCATTAGTACCTTCTCTTCCTTCAGCTGCTGCTCTTGCTCAAATTTCTGCCTCAAAGTAGCTTCCAAGGTGTCCTTCTCCCCACAGACTCCGATGTAACATTCCTTCACTGCAGTCATCTCTCTGTTCAGCTCCTCTATGTTAGCCCTTCACAGGACAGATTATTTATTATCAGTTAGTCTTTACACTCATAGGACAGCAAGTCTGTTTTAAAAAAAAGTGTAACTAGCACTGAGGGCCAGACAGGAAATGTGAAAGTTTCAGTAAAAGTGGAAAAAAATGGTAAGTCTTACTTCAACTGCGAGATTGTCTGTTCGTAAGTTTGAACAAGCTGCTGTTTTTCTGCAGCATACCTCTCCAGCAGGCCTTTCTCAAAATGCGCTTTTGTATCCTCATGATGTTGCTGATAAGTTCTTTCACACCTACAATTTCAAGAAAGGAAAAAAACCCTCTTTTTTTTCCCCTTTTAAACAGGGTTCAACTTTTTGTTAAGTAAGAAACTAGCTTTCTAATGCTGACCTCCCCTTGTACCAGATAGCTGGTACAAGATTATACATGCAGGCTAAAAGTTCACAAATGGAACTAAACGGAGTTAACAGACTTACCTGTCAATGGCTTCTTGTTTATCCTGATCAAAATCCTGAACCATCTTTCTCATCTGACAACAGAGGTCTTGATTTAATCTTTTCAGTTTTTCCTCATTTTCCTTCAGTTCTTCAATAGTCAAAGTATGGTTCTGGACAAACAAGGGTCAAGTAATAGGTGGGTTGTAAAAACCTTTTCTAATTGCAGGTTTTAGCAAAAGGGGTTTTTTGTGGGTGGTTTTTTTTTTTTTTTGTAGAGATAAGCAGCATCTCTATCTCACCTCAGCTTCTTGCAGCAAAGTTTCATTAGCCTTTCTGAGTCTCAGAACTTCTTCCTTAAGATTATCAGAAACCGAAGGTCTAGCCACCAAAGCATCATTCAGGTTTGTGACAAGCTAAAAATAAACAAAATTAAGATGATTTCTTTCAAGATATACATGACTTAGAAGTTGATGCTGTAAAAAAGTTAAAACTGTCGAATAAAAATTTTACTTGGAAAAAATAAAAAAACCCAAAGGAAATTATTGCAGTGTGAGATATAACAGTATCGCTGTTATTCTAGATTAATTCTTTAAACCTTCATGATGCTATGAGTTTCAAGAAGCACACACTCAACGTTGTGTTTGCAAGCTGAATGACTACTATCATCCAACAGAGAGCACACTTCTCAAGCATATTATATTCCTATTCCACGTCCAGGTCATAATATATAGATTACAAGAGCAGATGTTACAAGTCTGATCAATTTATAGAGGGATGTTAATAATGGGGTGAAGAGAGATGCAATATCAAAGGGATTCCTTGTTGATCAAATTACATAGTGAAGGCCCTCTGAAGGCAATCTGTTTAATGTTCCATTTGTATAACCTAATGATACTATCAGCTTTCTCAGAGAAATTACAAGGTCTTTTTGGCTAAAGAAAACCTACCTTCTCCAATGAAATTCAGTTCTGAAAAAAGCAGAGTGGCCATTAAGTGCTACCAAGCAAGTAAGCCATCGTATTAGAACTCACCTAATAAGGCATACGCTGCCCAAGTTCTGCTATTCAGTTTGTTTCTTTTTCACCAAAGATACAAAACAAGGTATCATCCAAATAAGAATACTTTCCTTAAGATCAAAGACAGATTTACTTAGTTGCTATGAATACTCAGCCGTCAGTAAATTCTTTGGTCCGTTTTCATAAGTAGTTTAAATGTTGGTTTGGTTCACTAAAATCCAGTGCATCTTTACATTTAAGAAAGTGTAAAAGAACAAACCTCTGACTCTTTTGATGCTTTTTCTGCTTTCAATAACTGCTTGTATTCCTCTAATGTCTTCTGGCAGTCTTTAAGATCATTTTGTAATTGAGTAATCTGTTTTCTCTTCGTTTTATTACTGCTCAATAAACGTTCCAGCTCAGCTTTTAATTCTACAATAATTTCATCTTTAGAGAGCTCTTTATCCACGTCTCTGTTCTGCATTGCACTATTAGGGAAGACAGAACCAGTTCAGTATTTAAAAGAAAAAAGCCATTTATCTGAAAGGTAGTGGTAGCAAAGAGAAGAGCAACTAATGCTACCAGAAATACAGATGCCCAAGAGGTAATAGTAAAAAGAGTGAGAGAACATGAATATAAAAGCCATACACCTTTTCATCAAGTTGCAGTTAATGTACAGAAAACTTGTTTATTCAGCTGTTTCCCCAAAAGAGTCACTCTCATGTGATATATTTTGAGACAACTCCATTGGTTGTTTTAAAAGACAGCTTTAGCATTAAGTAACTATGTGGAATCTTTGAGCAAAAAGGTATTCATGCATATAATCCATACAATCCAAGGAACAGCAACACGGTCCCTATAAAATCTGAAGATTTATTAAGCAGCAATTAGGCATCCAGTTTATGGTATTAGTCCAGTTTCCTGTTTCCCAGATTACCTGGCAATACAAGCAGTATTTCAAACATCTACAAAAAAAAAAAAGTACGTTGATCCAGTAAGACCATCTTTTACACATCACTTGTATAATTTCTTCAAGATTTTAGATTTTTCTTTCAACAAGAATCACTCAATACCTGCAGAACCTTGGTTTCTTCCCAGTGATTTTTTTAATTCCCAAATCTACATAGGATTCACCCAGGTTCGTATGCAGCTCTCCACCTGCATCATTCAAAAATACTCCAAGCTTGGCAGCAGATTCATACAAAGCTATTTCTTCCTTCAGTTCCATTAATTCTTCCTTAAAGGAAGAGACAGAAAAAAAATTACACTGAGCAGAGAAACTCCAAGCAAACACATCAGGCCCATGATAACTCTTCCGAAGAAACACAGAGCTATTCTTTCTGTTTGGTAAGTATAGTTGCATTTAGCTGTATTTACTTGAATCATCTAGCATCAGTTTTATTTATTTATACTATCATTTTTGATACCTCTAGCAGAGCATATGTTAAAACTACAAATTAGTTAGGGAATATTTTCTATTGCTCAGTATATTCTACTGTTCTTATCACAGTTCATATATGAAGTTAAGTATTATTTCTTGTGCTCTTACTTCTTTCCTGCTGCCCTTATATAGTAAAGCGAATGACAACAGAAAAGCACATAGCTGGAAAAACAGCCTATTCCTCTAGTATTTATTAGGATTCATAATTTCCAAGATGATAGATTTACGTCAAATAGAGGAACTGAACTGGAAACACAGACTTCCACTCATATTTTACAGAGGACTCTAGCATTCCCTTTTGCTGGCAAAAGATAAATTTCAGAACGCAATATCTCCAACTCCCCCTATAGCCTAATTAAGTTATGAGATTCCCAGCACATAGAATTTACATTCTTCTTTTTCCATAAGCAGGTTAGATAGATGTATGATATCAAATTTGTGCCGATACATATGCCCCGCTGTGTTTTAATTAAAAAAAAAAAAAAAGTCCAACATGCAACACTGGGAGATGAAGTAGTAGGCAGTCCTTCACTGAAAGGAGACGTGCTTGTTTCCTCAACAAATAAAGAGTTTCAACTACCAACCTCTTAGCAATAATGCCCACCCCCCTAAAAATCAAAACAGTAAAATATTTAGTAAAATTAATTAACCTGCAAAGCCTTGTTCATGTTATTGCTTATCATGTGTGCAGACTGAGCTTGTTGCAATTGAAACCGTAACTGATTTGTCTCCTGCATCGAGCCTATTGCAGGACAGAAAACGGAGAGAAAGAGCAAGTCATAAATACGCAAGAAAGACCATGCAATCTGAAAAAAGATCACTGTTAAAAATAGCGATGTTGATTCTGGTAATAGGCATTACTCTGTTTCTATTTCCTTGAGCTCACTAATAGAAAATACAAATAATGAAGGCAAGAATATTTCCGCCTGAATTGGGCGGGTGAATGTTACTACAGGTCTCCAACTTAAAGTGCAGTTTGTTTTAAAATTTGGGAACTACAGTGGCTTTATTTTTTTTCCAGAATTTTTAATATTAGCTTTAAAATAAATACCATGAGGAAGAAGATGTGCCAAATGTTTGCTTTCCTCGTAGCTCACCAGAAGCAAAAAACGACATTGTGT